TTTGAAAAAAGGGAGACCAAATAACTGGTGCATATAAAAATTTGGATGCAACAAATGCTTGAAAGAGAACCATTAAAGTTGATTTCTTTTTAAATTGTTTAAATGACCTAAATAAAAAGCCAAGAGTTTTGTTAGCACTATTAACCATATCTGAAACATGATCCTTAAATGACAAACTAGGTGAAAAAGAAACTCCAAGATCTTTGAACGCATTAACCCTCTCAACATAGTTTCCCTCAATAGAATACTGATAAGAGACCATCGCTTTCCCCCTCACAAATGACATTACTTTACATTTATCAATATTTAAATTTAATTTGTTATTTTTACACCAATCATTAAAATTATTTAAATTATCTTGAAGTACTTCACACGAATTGGCATTAGTAATTGGAAGATAAAGTTTTACATCATCTGCATAAAGTAGGTGATAACAAATTAAAGACGGAGTTAGGTCGTTCATATAGATGGTGAAAAGCAATGGTCCAAGATTAGATCCCTGAGGAACACCAGATGAAGGGAAAAAAGGTTTGCTTTCAAATCCATTATATTGAATAAAATTAGGTCGATTAGATAAATAAGATTTAATTACTTGTATTAATTTATCCGGCAATCCAAGAGTAAGAAGTCTACCCATCAGCAACCGATGATCAACTGTATCAAATGCTTTGCTAAGATCTGTGTAGATCACATCAACTTGAGGATACTCATTTAATAGATCATAAATATGTTGTGTGAAAACTAATAAATTTGTAGTTGTTGATCTTTTAGGGATGAAACCATGCTGATAAATAGAAATTTCACTCGATAACTTGCCAAATATAATCTCATAAATGCACATTTCAAAGATCTTAGAGAAATTATTTATAATTGAGATGGGTCGGTAATTTGTCACTTCAGATCTGTCTCCCTGCTTGAAAACAGGACAAATTCTTGTTCTCTTCCAAACACTTGGGAACAAACCAGATGATAAAGACTTATTGAATATAAGTGTGAGAGGTTTAATTAAGACTTTAGAGAGTTTTACTATTGCAAATGCAGGAATGAGATCATGACCAGAAGTTTTCTTTTTAGACGATAACCTTGCAATAGCCCTTTTTACATCTATTTCATAAATTCTTAAACTATCTCCAAGAAACTGGGGTTGATCATAATTCGAAGGAATATCCAATACAGAAGTATTCTTGTTATATACACTATCAAAAAACTCTGCAAATGAGTTTACAATAACATTTGCAGACCTATATTCAACACCCCTGAATTTCATTATTCCAGGTATTCTAGATTCACGTCTGATTCGATGCATGTGATTCCAAAAAACAGACGGTGATAAAGAAATATTATCCTCAACATTTTTTGTGTAATTATTATATGCAATTGTAATACGATTCTTAATATCTATTCGATAATGTTTATATAAATCCAAATAATATGATTGTCGAGTTTCCTTAAATTTAATTCTAAATTTCTCTTTTAAACGAATATCTGTTATAATGTCAGATGTGAACCAAACTGGGTATTTCTTATTATTGTTTACAATTCTTGGTACAGATTCTAAAATTGCATTATTCAATACCTCATAGAAAATCATACAACATTCATTAACATCATAACAATCAGTTAAAGCAGACCAATCATTATCAAAAAGTCTTATATAAAGTTGATTCCAATTGCATAAATTCCAATTGTAACGGAGAGAACTTTCATTTATAGGACAATTAGTTATCTTTTTTTCAGTCACTAAATCAGAACACATTATCAGTGATGGGTGATATTTATCTTCTGGAAAAATTGGATCCAAACATCTTTCAATATTAACTTTAAAGTTTACAAAGACTAAGTCAAGAAGCCTATTTAATGAATTAGGAATACTATTGACCTGTCGAAGTTCCAATGTTTGTGAAAATAAATTTAAAAGTAAAATTTTATCATTAAAGAAGATGTTATTCTCACAAAATAATTTATAACTAGGAATATTAAAATCTCCAAGTATAATAGTTTTGTAAGTCCAAATTTCTTTAATACATAATAATGAGTTGAAGAGATCATCATAATAATCAATTGACAAGACCGGAGGTATATAAAGAACAATAACAATTAAAACAGTATCATTCAAGGCAATCGGAAAATTTTTTTTTCTCTCTTTTCTCCCTTGTTAATTTAATTAATCGATACAAGTATTATATTAAGCGAATAATGTAACTAAGCGAATAAACCTTTTAAGGAACAATTTGATACTATAATAATAGTCAGTGAAAATGAAATGCAATGTAATAAAATTGTAGTTTTCGAGAGAACTTACCGATGCTGGTGAATTCGTTGAATATAATGACGGTGGCTATAAGGTGAGATTAAACAGGTTTCCCAGGTGATTTGCCGGATGGTCGAGTCTGAAACAAAATATGCGATATTAATTCGCCTTGATCTCATTCGTTGATAGGAATCCTTATAATATAAAATGGAAAATAATTAAATTTGTATAAGTAAGTCTGGAAAATATGTTTTTCTTATTTTTTGAATAGAAGTAAGTGGATTTTTCGCAGTAATAACCTAATAACTATATGTGACTAATTTTATTATTAGTATATTTTTTAAACATTATTTAAAGTATATATATGTATATATTTATATATTTATTTATTTTACATATATTTATTTAATTTATGTAAAGTTTGTATACAATTTTATAGTTACTATTTAATAGTAAAAAAAAACTTTATATATTTATATGTAAAGCATATTTTTATATAATATATTTAAAAAATTTTTTTTATTTTACACTGTTAAAAATTTCTCTCACTGACATATATTCTATATCATTGATATTATAATATTAATAATTATTTTAATATTTAATATTTTTTAATTTAAAATTTTAATATTTATTATATATAATTACAAATAATATGTAATAATATTGTTCGGAGAAAAAGGGAATAATCGAAGATAATTACAAGAAATGAATGTATTTTTAGTGATTAATTATTATTTTTGCATTTACTTAATGAATGCGGAATTGACATTAACCAAAAGGACAGTCACCTGTATCGAGATATCTGAAAAGGACGTTACCAGCACGCACGTCCCTTGTTATATTGTCGCTCGACTATCGCGGGATCCTGTTTCTTGACGGATTTATTCTCTTGGATAAATCGTTAATGTACGTGTGGCATTTTATTAGCGCCGATTCAATTACAATTTTTTTTCTAAAATTTTCACTTTTCTTCCCTAGTTATCGCACTAATAAATGAATTCTTAATATTTTATTTCATTATTATTCAATTGTTATATTAAAACTTGAATAAAAAATAATAATCCGAAAGAAAATATAAAAGAATTTTTTTTAACGAAACTTTTTTATTTTACTATTTTGAATTAGAAGAAGATGTAATTCTTAATAACTTTATATGAAAAACTAATCTATGAGTTTCATTATTAATGTGAATATGTAATCTTAAAAAAATGTTGAACAATAAATATGACGAATATTGTTTATTTATTTCTTTTTCACATTAAAATTTTATTACAATAATATTTGCGTCACGAAAACAAATGCGAAATTTAAGTTTTTTAATTTTTGTTGCAATTATTAATTTTTGCAAATATTTTTAATGGAAAATTCATTTGAACGTTTGAAACAAGTGGAACATTTTTCACTTTGGGTTAAAAAATTAGTTCTATTAATTGAGCAATATTTCTAATATTTGAAATATAATTTTAAGTATTAGAGAAATATTTATATTTGAAAAATAATTTTATATATTAGAGCAATATTTTAAATATTTGAATTATAATTTTAAATATTAGAGAAATAATTATAATATTTGAAAAATAATTTTAAATATTAGAAACATATCACTGTACTCTTTCTTCAATAACAAATAATGATACAAAAGTAATGCAAAAGATTATTTTTATGTTGCACGAAAAATTTTCATATTTTCGAAGACTTATAAATAATTTTTTATCTACTTATTTAGAATGTTTATTAAAAACACGACTTAATGGAAAGAAACACTTCTCTCCGACAAGGTAAAATTTTTTTAATATTTTTTTTTTATACTAATACAGAAATAATTTATGAATTTAATAACTAATCTAATTATTCTATATACTATAATAATCCTTATAAATAAAATTACCCATTTTTAAAATAAAATTTGAATATAAATAATAAATCCGAATTTATGAGTGAAAAGTGTATTTTTATTTTTAAAAGATTTGTTAATTATTTTATTGTTCGGTTAAAGATTGTTTGTTAAAACAAAATTTAAAATTGCTAAAAACGCTTTAATCTATAAATAAAAATTAATACCAACTTTATGTTATTAATTTTTATTTATAGATTAAAGCGCTTTTCAAGAATTTAGAATTTTAAGAATTTAATTGTTTAAAATAAATTCAGTCTTGTATTCTATAAAGTTCAATTATTGTCGCTATAGGAAAAATTTAATATTTCGTTTTAAAATTCGTGGTAATTTCGAAGTTTATAAGACAAACCAAAAAGAAAAGAATTAAATCTTTTTAATATTTTCAAAGTTTGATAAATTTTTCTCGAATTTTCACAATTTTGCAATGCTTAATCGCTACTTTGTTGACAAAAAGAAACTATTAAAAATTCTGGCGATTAATCTTTGAAAAACGTATTTTTCCTAATACTCCAAAAATTTTATTTTTAAAAAAAAATTTTTAGTTTAATAATCATTTAAATTTTTTAATATTTTTTTAAACTATGTTAAAAATTGAGGGAAATAATATAAGAAAACTGTTTTTTGTTGGTGTGTAAAAAAATTTATTTTTAAGAAAACTGTTATCTCTCGGTGTGTAAAAAAATTTATTTTTTTGTTCAGTTATAAATTATTCTAATATTTTTAACGAAAAAAAGGACGAAAAAATGATAATAATATATTTTAAACAGTATCTTTATTTTTGATTTTTAATACTGTTTGTAAAATTATAAAATTTGATATTTTTTTTATAGATTAAGACGTTTATGAACAATCAAGAAAAAAAGTTTCTCTACAAAAGGATAAAACAGAAAAGCAAAAAAATTAAATCACACGTTGATTTCTTTAATTATTGTATAAAAAATTGTATTGTTGTATAATTTATAATTTTGTTGCAAATTCTTTTAATCGAAAATGAATATAATTGGAATTGAAAATGTTATCGCAATAATATTTGCATTAACATTGCAAATAGTAGTGTCAACGAGAAGAACAGCAAGCGAGCGAGCTGATGAATTTAATGAGTTATACAATAAACAATATGATGTTATTGACAATCATATTGCTGATTGTTTTAAAAATGAGGCTTGGAATTATATTGAAGAATATGTTCTCAGTGATGATGAACTGCAATCATTTATTATCAAAATAAATAAAACTGGACGTCCAAGTATAAATTACAAAAATAGAAAATTACTCAATCCAGTTGATTTTTCGATTTTGCGATTTTTCACTTATTTGGAATCAACCACTTTTCAATTAAGAACAGCAACGAAACAAGTTGAAAGTCTTAAATCGTATGTCTTTGATGATTTTTTCTCATTTAAAGCAGAGAAATTATTTAAAAAATATATGGAAAGAAAACTCAAAGAAGTTATTTCATTTGAAAATTATTATGCTCTTTTGATTTTTTTAGACAATCCAAAATTTGAGATCGATACCCCCGCAGGTTGGCGAATGAAAAGGGCAATTTACAGTTTGCTTCTTCGACAATATAATCCAACATTTGACTCACATTCTAGTAATAATCCTGAGAGACATTGTTTCTTTGCAAGTTTAAGAAAAAATGAAATGATTGCTAAAGTCAAAGAGGGCATTACTTATAGAAATGCACAATTTCGACTTTGCTATCCTGAATTAAAAGATGTTATTGCTCCAGAAACTGAAATTGACAATAATTCTTTAACTCTAGTTTATACTAAACTGACATTTTCGAAATATTATCAAGTTTTAAATATAAAAGAAATTACAGATGATAATCGCGATCTTTATGTAATTCTTCCTGAAACAAACTACAGATTCAGTGATCCATACAGATTTATGCATAATAAAATGTTTATTCAAATGTTACCAATGCAAATAACTGAAGTCAACGATATTTTAGGAGTATTGGTTCACATGGCAAATGCAATTGAAAATTTAAAAACTAAAGAGGAGAATTATTTAAAAAATCTCTAATAATTTTAATAAAGAAAATTTATCCATTTTATTTTTAATCGTAAAAGAAGAATTTCAACGATATGATAAAAAATGTAAACTTTTAGAATTTTTTTCAAGTTCTTTTAGAATAGATATTAGAAAAATATTTTTAATATTTGAACTATTATTATTATTATTTTAAATGTACAATAAATTTTAACTACTTATGTAATATTCATTGTACTTCTTCTTCAATATAAAAAATTGTAATCTGGAAAAACATTGGAAAGGATTATTTTTATTGCTCATAAACAATTTTTAAATTTTACACCAGTTTTCGAAATTTAACTTTTTTTTTACAAATTATTTAGAATATTTATCAAAAAATCATTGAAAAATTACTAACATTTTAAGTCAAGTAAAAAAAATTAATATTTTTAAATTGTAATAAAATATTTCTTTAATTTGAACGTTCAAAACTATTAGGGCCATTTTTCATTTTGTGTTAGAAAATTGTTTCTGGTATTTGAATTATTATTTCAAATATTAGAAATATTTCGAACAAATGAAAAATAATTTTAAACATTTAAGAAATATTTCTCATATTTTAAATATACAATAAATGTTAATCACTGTACTCGTTCTTCAAAAAAAAAAAAAAATAATAATGATATGAAAGAAACGCAAAAGATTATTTTTATGTTTCATTAGAAATTTTCATATTTTCGAAGACTTGTAATAAAAATAATTTTTTATCCAGTTGTTTAGAATATTTATCAAAAAAAAAAAAAAAAAAAAAAACGACTCAATGGAAAGAAATACTTCTCTCTGACAAGGTAATATTTTCTTAAAATTCTAATTCTTTTTTTTTAATATCTAATATATAGAAATAATTTGGAATTAAAAAATAAATAAAGAAATTATTAATTAACACTATATTATTATTAAATCTAATAACTAAACAACTTTTCAAAAACAGACAACTATTATAAATAAATTATTTCTATTTAAAACTCAAAAATTGCTTTCACAATCACAATTAATTATTTAATAATAATTAGATAATAACTATTAAATAATTTTATTTACATTAATTAAAGGATATTGACAAAATTTACAAATTAATAGTGTTTTTTCCATTTCCTAACTTTATTTTATTTTATAAATATGTTTTGAATAGATATATTTTTTAAAAATGATGTTAAATTATAGCTTTTAGAAAGCAAATAAATATGTACTTTAAAATATTTCACTTTTTTGTATAGACAAAAAGTTAAAATTTGTTTTTGTTTGTAAATAACGTTTGTATTTTCGAAAACGCATTTAATTTACTTTATTCGTAATTAAATGTGTGTTTTTTGGCAAAAAATTATATTTGTTTTTTTAAATTAAAAGTAATGGTGAATAAAATTCTATGTAAAATATACACATAGAGAAAAGGATAAGGAACATAAAAAATCTTGTTTATAAGAATTAATGCAAATAGAAATTAAAATTCCCCTATTTCAACACATTTTATTGCAAGATTTTCAAAAATTCAAAAATTGTAAACCCATTTGAAATTCTATAATTTATAAGAATTATTAAATTGTTGCAACTTCTCTAAAATTATTTTCAAGATTTCAATTTAATTATTTTCTAGAATTTTTTGACTGAAATTCTTTTCTAAATCAATAATTTTTAATAATTTTGAGAAATTTCATAAAGAAAGAAAAAATCATTTTTTTTTTGAGAAAAAAGAAAGTTCACTTAAAATACGTTTAAATTTCAATTGTTTTAGATTAAATTTTATCCAAAATTCGATTAAATATTTGAAAATTGTTCAATAAAAATTCATTATTTTGATAATTAAACAAATTTAAAAAAAATTGAATACAAATTTTTCAAAAACTAACTTCTTCAGATTATTTATTTATTATTATTTAAAATTCAATTTTTCAAAAATTTTCCATTATTAAATTTAATAAATTAAAAAATTGCGTTTGGACTTTTTCTTAAATTAAAAAATATTTGAAATTTTTAAGTAAAATGAATCACTAAATAATTTATAAATTATAATTTTATGAAAATTTCTTAAGAATTTAATTATTTAAAATAAATTCCGTTTCTTATTCTTTAAAGTTCAATTGTTGTCGCTATAGGAAAAATTTAACGTTTCGTTTTAAAATTCGTGGTAAAATAAAAAAAGGAATGAAATCTTTTTAATATTTTCAAAGATTGCTGAATTTTTCTCGAATTTTATTTTTTTTAATTTTGCAATATTTAAACTATTATGTTGACAAAAATAAACTATTAAAAATAGAGACGATTAGTCTTAGAAAAATGTGTATTTTTCCTGATACTCGAAATTTTATTTTTCTTTCAAAGTGATAAAAAATATTTTTTTAGTTTAATAATCATTTAACTGTTTTATCGAATTTTTTTTAAATCATTAAAAATTTAGGAAAACAATATTAGAAAACTGTTATCTCTCGGTGTGTAAAAAAATTTATTTTTCTGTTCAGTGATAAATTCTAATATTTTTGTATAAAAGAGAAGGACAAAAAAATTAAAAATACATTTTAATCAGTATCTTTATTTTCGATTTTTAATACTGTTTTTACAATTATATAAATTTTTGTATTTTTTTTTATAGATTTGGAGGTTTATGAACAATTAAGAAAAAAGGTTTCTCGAATAAAGGATAAATCAGAAAAGCATAAAAAATAAATCACACGTTGATTTCTTTAATTATTGTATAAAAAATTAATTAAAAATTTTTGTTGTATATTCTTTGAATCAAAAATGAATATAATTGGAATTGGAAATGTTATCGCAATAATGTTTGCATTAACATTGCAAATAGTAATGTCAACGAGAATAACAGCAAGCGAGCGGGCTGAAGAATTTGATGAGTTATGCAATAAACAATCCGAAGCAATAAACAACAATATTGCTGATTTTTTTAAATATGAGGCTTGGAATTATGTAAAAAAATATCTTCTCTCTAGTGATAATATAAATCTATTTTTAAAAGAGGTAAACGAAACTGGATATCCACATAAAAGTTTTATAAACAGAAGACTAAAAAATCCTCTCAATTTTAGGATTTTGCGATATTTTACTGATTTGGAATCAAGTTCTTTAACATTGTCCAATGCAAATGAAATAGTCAATGGTTTCAAAAGAATTTTTAACTATCAATCCCAAATTTCAACAGCGAAATTATATCAAAAATATATGGAAAGAAATCTCAAGGAAGTTGTTTCATTTGAAAATTATTATGCTCTCATGGCTTTTCTAGAAGATAAATCGCTGATTTCAAAGGATTCTCCCGCAATGTGGAAAATAATTAATGCTATTTACAGTTTAACCATTAGACAGTACAAGTCTGTTTTAAAAACATTTCCAAATGATAATCCTATATTTAATTGTTACTTATCTCAAATAATGAATACAGGTGGAATTGCGACACTGAAACATGGTATGATTTTTGATAATTCAAATTTTTTATTTTGCAATAAGGAATTAGAGAATATAGTTCAACATCAAACTGGGATTGAACGTTCTCGATCTAAAGTTTATTTTAATTTGACATTTTGGGAATATCATCAAGTTGTGAATATTAGAGAAATTACAAATAATCATCAAGATTTATATATAATTTTTCCTGACACAAAAATGATGGTCTCTGGTCCACCATACATCACTAGATATAATGGAATACATATTACAATAGTGCCAATTTTCATGCAAGAAGAAAATAAAGAAAACCAATTAGTTAAAATAGCAAATGCAATTGAATATTTTAAAATAAAAGAGGTGGATTATTTAAAAAGGCATCAATAAATTTTAATCAAAAGAATTCAGAAGTTTCATCATTCAAGGGAATAGTTGAATCACAAAAGAAAAATTTTAACAATAAATATGAGAAATAATGTAAACTTTAAGAATACATTAATTTTTAGTATGTTCCCAAAGCAATAAACGTTCAAATGAAAGAAAATTTTTTTATATTTCTTCGAAAAATTAAAATTTTTGGGTCAAGTATTTAAAAAATTTACCAAGTTTTTTATGTTTACTTTATATTTTTAATTTTTTGTTGAAAATTATATTAAGTTTTTAATAATATTTAAAAAAAAAATATTCCTTTCACTTGAACGTTAATTCATTTTTTAGATTATATTAAAAAATAAAATATTTTTAACAAAAAAATATTATGGTAAATTTTAATAGAATTTTTACGTCCGAGATAAACGTACGATAAATTTTAACTATGTAATATTCTCTGTATTCTTTCTTCAATAATAAAAAATAATATTAAAACAGTTGCGAAAGATTGTTTCTATTTCTCACGAACAATTTTTTAAATTTTCGAAGATTCATAAAAATAATTTTTTTAGGTTACTTAGAATGTTTATCAAAAGCCACGTCTTAGTGGAAAGAAATACATCTTTTTGACAAGGTAAAATTTTCTTAGAAATATTTTTTCTTTTTGAAATTAATTAATTATTTAATAATTAAGCAATTTAATTATTCAATATAATAAGTAATTCAATATAATTAAATAAATAAACAATTTTTCAAGAGAAGACGATTTTATAAAATTTATTTGTTTTGTTCATTTTTATTCCTTATTTGTGTTAGTTGCAAATTATTTTAAACTATGAAAAATTGCTTTTAAAATTGAAGAATTAAATAAATTTAAAAATTATTACATATACGAATTCATATGATTTACAATTTGAATAATTAAATATTAAATGTAAACGCAACAACGTTTATATTTGAAATTTGAAACTAAAAAAATTTACTTTAATTTAAATAAATTAATTAAAATTATTCTAGATCAGATTTTATACAGATTTTATAAATAATAAATTTTTTTATTAGAAAATATTTCCTATTCTAGAATTTATTATTTAAAATAGAATTTTTTTAATTTTATCTAACTTGTTATTTGATATAAAAAAATAGTATTATTAATAATTTAATTTAAAATTATTATTAAACAAAAATTTTACTTTTTTCTTTTTTTAGAATAATTTCAGTGTTTTTATTGACAAAAATTTAAATGTTTTTCTCTTGTAAGAAATTTTACCGTTTTTTTTTTAACAAAAGTTTTTGTCGTAACAAAAAATTAACGTTGAAAAAAATAATTATTTTTTGTATCACTAATTTATTAGTAAAGTTTATTAATTTTACTTATTTATTAGTAAATTTTACTAACTTTACTGATTTATTAGTAAATGTTACTAATTCAAAAGCAAAAACTCCGTTATTAATTCAAATTAGTAAACATTTTTATAAATTCAAATTTAGAAAGTAGATGAAAATTTTGTTAAATTATAATAAAACACTTAATTTTTTTTATAAAAAGTAATATGCAAAAATCAAGATAGGGTTGAAAAAAAATTGAAAAGAGAAAATTTATGGAATTTGATTAAATATTAAAATATTACTAAATTTATTTGCCGTAAATTACAATTATATTAAAAAGTGCAATAATTATCCTATACAAAAATTATTATAATACAATAATTATTATTGTTTATAATATAAAAATTTTAATGATAAATTTAATTACACAATTGATACTGAATCCAAAATATTAACGAGATAACGCAAAAATTTCATAAAAAATAAATTTTTCAAAACACTAAATTAAATAATAATACCTATTAGCCAATTATTAGTAAATAAATAAATTAATTACTTATTTTTAGGAATGAATTCGGTTATTACAAATATTTCTAACAGTATTTTTCTAACTTTTAATAGTTTTTAAAAATAATGTAAAAACTTACTATGTATTTTAAAAATAAAAATATATAAAAATATCAATCGATAATAATTATGCAAAAACATAGTCGACTTTTTAAATAGTTAAAAAAAAGACAGTCAAAAATTTTTATTGCTAAAAAAATTTATTATTTATGAAAATAATTGAATTCTTTTTGGGAAATTTTATTAAAATAGTAGATATTTAAAATAATTAAAATTAGAAAAATGCATTTTATTTTTGAAAATAATTGAAATTAGGACAAGAATTCTTTTGACATTTATGAAAATAATTGAACTTTGGAGAAGAATTTTGTTACTTATAAAGATAATTGGAATTTTTACTAGAATTTTTTTCAAATTTTCAACATAGTTGAAAGTTATGAGAATTTTATTTTTTTTTAAATAATTGAATTTCTGCAAATATTTGTAATTTCTCCAAAATTGAATTTCTTTAGGATTTTCAACAAAAATTTAAATTAGAAAATTTTTAAATTCTATTATTTTTAAAATTTCTAATTTTATTTAAGTATTTTAAACCTTCATTATTTATTTTTTTTAATTTTAGTATTGTTTGTTAAAATTATATACATTAGGTAGTTATTTTTTTCTTATAGATTAAGGAAGTTTTTGACGAGGTTTTTGAGCAATCAAGAAAAAAGATTTCTCGATTAAAAGATAAAATACGAAAGCATAGAGAAACTTAAACCACACGTTGAGTTGTTTAATTGCTGTATACGAAATTAAAAAGAAAATTTGTATATTCTCTTGATTGAAAATGAATAAAATTGCACTCGGAAATATTATTACAATAATATTTTCTTTAACAATACAAATTGCAGTGTCAACGAGAATATTACCAACTGAGCGTTTAGAGATGGCTAATGATTTTTATGACAGAAAATTATTAGCAATCGACAATCATATTAATTATCCTTTCAAGTATGAAGCGTGGGTCATGTTGGAAAATCATGTTCTCAGTGTGCATAAACTCGATTATTTTCTTCAAGAAATAAATAAAACTGGAAAGCCAATTGAATTCTTTCACGATATGAAACTAATAAATCCTATTCATTTCAAAGTTTTGCGATATTTTACTTTTATGGAATCAAACTATTTTGATATTAATGATGCTGGTGATTGTTTCAAAAATCTTAATTCAAATGTATTTAATAATTCATTTGAAATATCATTTCAACATTTATTCTACAGTTATGTAAGAATGAAACTCAACGAATTACTTTCATTTGAAGATTATTATGCTCTTAGAATTTTTCTACAAGATTATTCGCAAATTAACTTGGAAAATCCTCTAGGCTGGAGAATAAGAAGAGCAATTTTTAATTTGGCTATTCGTCAATATAAAGAGAGACCACAATTATCATCTGATTCCGATGTTGCAGAACTTTGTACATTCTATTTAATAAAATCGGAAAAATTTATTTGTGATATTAAAAAGAATGACGTTATTCGTGTCAAAGAATTTCAGGTTTGCAGTGGTGGTAATCAAAAGTATGAATCTCTTATCAAGGAAATTACACCTTTTACATATTTGGTCTCTTATGATGTGAACATTTTGAATAATATTCAAATTGTGAATTTAAATGAAATCACAGAAAGTAATGAAGATCTTTATGTAATTCTTCCTGATACAAAATTAATTTTGTCTAAAAAACTGAACCCTGTTAGGCGATCTGGAATAATTCTTCAACGTTTGATTCAAAATGTTTATGTTTTGAATATAAATGATCAAAAGTTGCTGACAAATTGGGCGAATAAAGTTGAAAATCTTCAAACCCTAGAGAAAGAATATTTAGAATATCATTCCAGGAATCATTAACATAAAATGAAGAAAATTAACGAATTTTATTATTTTGTTCTACACTTAAAGGAAGGAATTAAGAAAAAAATAAATACTATATTTATTTTTAAATTTCGAAAAATGCATTTTCAATGTATATCGAAAATAGTTTTTAGTCCTCAAAATAATTTTAAATATAGAATACATTTTCACTATCTATGTAATAATAATTTATGCTTCTTCTTCAATAGAATAAAAATCTTAATCAAATTTGAAAAAGATTAATAATATTTTTCATGAGCATTTCTAAATTTTACATTATTATTAATTATTATTATTATTAATATTATTTTTAAAATATTTAATCTCTTATAAATAATAAAAAAACGTTTTCCTCTTTAGTAAAAAATTAATTTTTCATTATTATGCGTCAAAATAAGTAACAAAAACATTAATTTTACAAAGTTTCTAAATGTCAAATTTAAGTTTTCAATTTTTGTAACAAATAATTTTTTAATAATCTTTTTAAAAAGAAATATTCCTTTCACTTGAACGTTATTTCATTTTTTAGTTTATATTAAAAAATAAAATATTTTTAACAAAAAAATATTATGATAAATGTACGATAAATTTTAACTATGTAATATTCTCTGTATTCTTTCTTCAGTAATAAAAAATAATATTAAAACAGTTGCAAAAGATTGTTTTTATTTCTCACGAACAATTTTTAAAATTTTCGAAAATTCATAAAAATTATTTTTTAACTGCGGTTACTTAGAGTCTTTATCAAACGCCACGTCTTAGTGGAAAAAATACATCTTTTTGACAAGGTACAATTTTCTTACAAATTTTTTTCTTTTTGAAATTAATTAACTATTTAATAAGTAAGGAATTTAATTATTCAATATAATGAGTAATTCAATATAATTTAATAAAAAAAACAATTTACCAAGAGAAGACGATTTTATAAATATATTTGTTAGTTCCATTTTTATTCCTTACATAGTGTTTGACAGATTGAAAAAATGCAGATATTTTTTCATGATTTATAATAAAACAATATTTAAAATAAGAAAATATAAAAAAATTATGATTAATAAATAAATTTTGTTTATTATATGCTTTTTTCTATAACGAATTTCGTTTGATTGATCTAAATTATGCAAATTTTTCTCCTTTTTATTTATAAAAAATACTAGATAATAGTTCATTGTTAAAAAATTTTAGAAGTAGAAAATATACCCATTTTATGCAAAATTTATATTTCTCAATAACAATATTGTTCAGAAACTCATTCTTTTCTTTTGGAAAAGAAACATTACATAAATTCTATTATATTTGTCAATTACAAATTTTAATTTAAAATGAAATTGAAACTTTTTAAATTTTTAGAAAATAAAGGAAAAAATTTTACTCAAGAAAATGTTCTGTTACATTTATTTACGAATTTCTGTAATTTTAAAATTATTCGAAAACACCAATAACTTTTTTTTTTTAAATAAATATTGAAACAATATTATTTCTTAATAGAAATTAAGAATTTCAAAAATTTCAAATTCAAAACTTTTTAAATTCAATAACTTATAAGAATATTTTTATAATACATGAAGATAGCGATTGCTCCGAGTTAAAAGTTAAAAGTTTCTAAATGTCAAATTTAAGATTTCAATTTTTGTGGCAAATGTACTTTTTTTAAATATTAAAAAAAAAATATTTCCTTCAAATTGAACGTTGAATTTTTTAATTTTGTATAAGAAAAATATATTTCGACAATTTGACATATTATGTTCAAAGAACGATAAATTTTAACTACTTATGTAATATACACTCTATTCATTCTTCAATAATAAAAAATTAAATTAAAACAGTTACAAAAGCTTGTTTTTATTTCTCATGAACAATTTTTAAATTTTCGAACACTCGTAAAAATAATTTTTTATCTGGTTACTTAGAATATTTATTATTTATCAAAAGCCACGTCTTAGTGGAAAGGAATACATCTCTCGACAAGGTAAAATTTTCTCAACAATTTTTTTTCTCTGTAATTAACAGCATATGCTGTTAATTAATTATTTAATAATTAATTTAATTAATTTAATTAATTTATATTATTTAATATAGGTAATAAGTAATACAATATAATTTAATAAATAAACAATTTACCAAGAGAAGACGATTATTTTAACACATTATTCCCAACGAAAAAATGAATTTTTGTAAAAACAAAAAAATTTCACTTTGAAATTAATTGAAACGTGTATAGAAGTAGAAGTTGAAAAAAAATTTGATTAAATCATTAATATTTACAAAAGGAAACTAAAACACAAACGAGAGGAAATCTCTTAACGATGTGCGCCACTGTCTCTCCTTGCGCACTTGAAACGTATAAAACTGTAATTAGCAATTTAAGTGTGTAGAGGAATCGTGGGAAGCAAGGAATAAGGTGGAGATGCCTATAAAGGGCTACCTAAAGAGAGAAGGAAAGAAAGAAAGAAAGAAAGAGAGAGTAAAAGAGAGAGAGAGAGAGACGCATTCTTCCATCAGATATATATATTTGCGACGTTTTCTGTTCCAAGTTACGAGCCACACACCTCACCAGAAGAAACAATCATGTTTCCCTGAGATTCTCGCAATAAATCGATTCCAGATCCTTTGCCGATCATAATGGGAAGTTCATCGCGCGATCTCATCTCCCCAGATGTACAATTCAAACGCTTGATAACTTCACTTGGTTCGCTTTATACGGAAAACTGATTATTTATAACTTACTGACTGTCAATCAACACAAAAAAAAAATATTCTCAATTTTCAATATTCAAACATTCAATTTTCCGTGTATATATTATTGCCTCAATATTATTATTAAATAAATTATTAATTACTAAAAAGTTTCTTATTTTCCATTCGTTTGACTGATCTAATTTATTATGCAAATTATTCTCCGTTTTATTTATAAGAAATACTAGAAAATAGTTAATTGTTAAAAAAATTTTAGAAGTAGGAAATATACCCATTTTGTTGTAGAAAATTCTCAATTTTTATAAGGAAATAATTTGCATCAATTTAATAATAATATTTCTTAATTTCAATTATTTTAATAAAATTCAAGGTTTTTTAAAAATAAAGAAAATAATGTTTATAAATTATATTTGTCAATTAGAAAATTTAATTGAACATGAAACTGAAATTTTTTGATTTTTTAGAAAATAAAGGAAAAAAATTTATTCAACAAAATATTCTGTGAAATTTATTTACGAATATCTTTAATTATAAAATTATTTGAAAACAATAATTTCTTTTCTAAATATTTTAAATATTTAATTATTAGGTATTATTTTTCCATAGGAATTAAGATTTACAAAAATTTCAAATTCAAACCTTTTTGAAATTAATCATCTTATAATAATTAAAGAGGACCAAGTGTTTTAAAATCATTATTTTATATTATAAAAATATTGTTACTGTAAGTTTTTAAAAATTATTTTCATACTCTATTAATATCTAAAATTAAAACTAAAATTCATTTTCAAATCAATTTTTATTAGAAAATTCTACGAGAATTCTATTATATAAATACAAAAGTAAATTATTTATTTAATAATTGAAAGTTTTTTATAATTTCATTCTTATAAAAAATTTTATTAAAAAATTTTTAAATAATAGAATTCTTTTGACGAATTTTAATAAAAATTTTTAAGAATAATTAAATTTTTCGAGGAATTTGATTAAAATTGTATTAAAAATAATTGAAATTCTGCAATGAATTTTATTATTAATGAAAATGATTAAATTCCTAAATAAAATTTTATTGTTTACGAAAATAATTGAATCCCTGTAAAGATTTTATTATTTACGAAAATAATTGAATCCCTGTAAAGATTTTATTATTTACGAAAATAATTGAATCCCTGCAAAAAATTTTATTATTTACAAAAATAATTGAATGATTGCCAAGAAATTTATAAAATATTTGTAAATAATTGAATTTCAGTAAGATTTTTATTATTTTATAAAAATAATTGAATTATTGCAAAGAAATTTATAAAAAATTTGTAAATACTTAAATTCCTGGAAAATTTTTATTTTTTTATGAAAATAATTAAAGGTTTGTGTAGAATTTTATTAAATTTTTTTTAAATTATTGAATTCTTTTGAACAAAATCTAAGTTCATTACAATTTCTAATTAAATTCATTCAACATTGAAATTTTATAAAATTATAAATTGAAACCGTTTGAAGTTCATTTATTGATGAAAATTGTAATCGCCTCTTTTAAAATTCAATTAATTTTGAGATATTTAAGTAAAATTATTCATTAAATAATTTATTTATTTTAAGATAGTAGTTCAAAGTTTAAGTTATTTAAAAAGAAATTTCAAATTTTTGTCAGAAATTGAAAAAATTGATGGTTTGGTATTAGAAATCGTGGAAATTTTATAGTTTACGAGTTATACCAAAAAGACCGAAAAATTTAGAATTTTCTTATGAATTCTAAAAATTTAAATTTTTTTCAGTACTTTTTAATCCAAATTCTTGACTTTTCCCTAAATTCCCTTAAATTTTGTATTAACTTTGCAATAACTTTTAAACATATTTGCAATAATGTGATCTGTATTCGATGCAAAAGAAAAATAATTTTAATGTATTCACTATTTTTAAATTAAAAATTTAAATAAACTTGGTCATTAACTAATAATAAAATGAATAAATAAACCAAATTGTTTACATATTAGTAACAAATTTTCTTTTTTTTCCAGGTGAGTCAGTTGTTGCATCATTTGAAACATATTTCCAAGACATTGCAGACGCCACAGTGGTAATTCCAATTCATTTAATTTTTAATTAGAATTATTATTCAGTTTCCAATAACTGGAAAACCTACAAAATAATTTTTTTTCAATTTTTCCATATAGCATTATTCAATAATTTTTAAAAAAATTAATTTCAATTATTAAATTAGCAATAAAATTTGAAATTATCATTCTCTCTAAATTTAAATTAGTATAAAAATAATGTTTATTAATTTAAATTAGTGACTGACCTTTTTAGACTGACATTATTTACACTCGAAATAAATGATTCAATTTTCAGAAGAGTGTTGTGCTTCAATTTTTTTTCTTTAGTCTCGAGAATTTTTTTTTATTCGCTTTCTTTAACGATGATATGTTACGAGCGAGATTAACTATTCCATTTGTTAAAAATAATGGGGCACATAAACTCGAAAAATGAGTATATAGAGTGTGTTCTCCGTTGGTGTTCTATCTTGTCTTGAAGAGTGATTGAAGAAAACAGCGGACGAGTATAACGACGCAATCTGATCTACGAGCATTTAACGAGAAATGGCATAAGTCAACGACGGATGAAGTATACACCTATTCTACGCCTATAGTTGGATTTTATGGGTTCGGTTCCTTCTATAACCAAGAGAGAGGACTCATTTTCTCAATGATCCAGAAGACATGAAATTGAATACCACTTTTCTTTTTAATGAAAAAATTATTATTTTTTTGAAAAAAAATAAAAGTGGAAATAAAAAAATTAGAAATCGTTTCAGAATAGAAAAAATATAGTCAAGGTTGAACCTTATAGTCAGGGTTGGACCATGTTAATGAAAAAATAAAATCAAAACATTGACAAAAAGGATCTTTTTTTATAAAAATATTTATTATTTATATAAAAATGATTCTTTATTAAAAAAAATTTATTTCTTCAATCTTTCTTTCCGTCTTTAGCAAAAGTCAATAGAAAAAAATTATTTTCCGTTAGAGCTGCAATAGGAACTGAGAGTACAATCGCATAAAGTGATCAGACTTGGCAACGTCACATTTACATTGGATTTTCTTTGCCGAATTAGTTCTCGACGAAAAAAAAAAATGAGAGAAAAAGAAAAAGAGAGTCGACTCAAGAGATAGCACGTATAGCGTGTACAAATGTTGACTTCGAATTCTGTAACTTCTTTTTCTTTAGGAGTCGATCGTGACGTATCCGCTGGATTCCAATCGAGCGATTTGTAAGTCTCGTGACTTTAAGTTTAACGTCGATCTTTCTGCTCTTATACCGAGAGGCGCGCACCGATTCTCGAACCCGCCCCCCCAATAGTGGCAAAGGAATTCAAATTAAATAAACACGTAGATATATGTATATACAAATAAAGAAAACCTGATTATATGCAGAAAATTGGCTAACAAATTTTTTTAAGAAACTATTTTCAAAAAATTTTCCCTTTATGTTGGGTTAAATTTTGAAAATCTGATGATAAATTCGTAAACAAATTTTTTTTGGGGTGAAATTTGTTTTTACAAATATTTTATGTCAAATGAGTCGAAAAAATAAGTATGTCTGACTTTACTCGACAGTTACTACTAATAATTAATTTTTTTGAATTCGCAAAATCTTATTGACTAAAATTTTGATTTATTTTTCTACCTTAATTTTTTTCCAGCAAATAACTTGTATTAGTGAAAATTTGGATGTCATAAATTCAAAAGTCTGACCAAATCTTACTTTTACTACTGATACTGATAAAATTACAAGAATTGGAATTCAACAATTTGGCTAAAAATTACTTTAACCACAATTATGATACTAGATTTTATTTTTTACAAGAAGTTGTCCATAAATTACGTGAGACATTTTTTTTTAAATTTTAACTCCCCCCACTTTAAAACCTTAGGTAATTTTTTCCACCAATAAGTGAAAAAAGTTCAAAAGTCTGACTAAAAGTGTCCATAACTACTAATAATAATTTGACAAGCCTTTCAAAGTCTGAGTATGTTGCACTTTTACTACTTACATTAAAAATACAATAATTCAATTTATTCTTTTATGGATAAAATTCACTAGAAAATTAAATTCACAATTTACGAGAATTTAAAATGTTGTCTGACCAAAACCAACTGTTACTACTTAACAGAGCATTTCCAAGAATTGTTAACTTAAATTTATTTCACTTGACATTTTTTATCTTTTTTCTTTATTTTTCTATTTTGCTTCTTTATAGTGAAAGTATTTTTGCCTTTTCGTTTCTTTTTTTCGTTTCTTTAATTCTATTTTAATTCTATTTTAATTTTCATTACTTTTGTTATTTATTGATTCTATTTTTTATTTTGCATTTTTAAATTTCATTTTTATATTTATTTATTTTTGCTTCCATTTATTTCGATTATTTATTTTATTTTTGATTTGCTCTATTTCAATTTATAAATAATCGATATAAATAGAAGCGAAAATAAATAAAAATAAAAATAAAAATGAAATTTAAAAAAGCAAAA